GAGGCAGGAGAATCACTTAAGCCCAAGAGTTTGAGGTTGCTGTGAGCTATGATGCCATGGCACTCTACCAAGGGGGACATAGTGAGACTCTGTCTCAAAAAAAGAAAAAAAAAAGAATGAAGTACTGTAGTCCCAGCTACTTGAGAAGCTGAGGCAAGAAGATCACTTGAGCCCAAGAGATTGATGTTGTCAGGCCACTCTACCCAGGGTAACAGAGTAAGACTCTGTCTCAAGAAAAAAAAAAGAATGAGGTACAGAGGTGAGAGATATGACTGGAAAATTAAATATGGTGCAGATCATGAACATCTTAGAAGGATAGCTAGAAGTTTGGTCTTTATCCTGTTAGTGATATGAGACTAATGAAAGATTTTAAGCAGGGAAAGTTTGAGTGTAAGAGATGCATCACTGTGGTGTTAGTATGAATGACAGATTTTTTTTTTTGTAGAGGGAGTCTCACTTTATCGCCCTCAGTAGAGTGCCATGGCATCTCACAGCTCACAGCAACCTCCAACTCCTGGGTTTAGGCGGTTCTCTTGGGTTCTCTTGGGTTCTCTCCCAAGTAGCTGGGATTACAGGTACCTGCCACAAGGCCCAGCCATTTTTTTACTGCAGTTTGTCCGGGCTCGGTTTGAATCTGCCACCCACGGTTATGGGGCCGGCTCCCTACCCACTGAGCCACAGGCACCGCCCAATTTTTTTTTTTTTTTTGAGACAAATGTCTCACTTTGTTACCCTCAGTAGAATTCTGTAGCATCATAGCTCATAGCTACCCCAAACTCTTGGGTTCAAGGAATCCAAGTAGCTGGGACTACAGGCACCTGCCACAACGCCCAGCTATTTTTTAGAGACAAGGTCTCGCTCTTGCTCAGGCTGGTCTTGAACTCCTGAGCTCAAGCAATCTATCCACCTCGGCCCCCCCAGAGTGCTCGGATTGCAGGCATGAGCCCCTGCACTCGGCCTTAGTGGCAGTTTTAAAGATGGTAAGCCTGGAGGGAGAGAGACCAATGAGGAAATCTATCAATTTCCTGAAATAGTTGCCATGTCCTATTTGCCTCTGCATCCTCAGTGCCTACCAAAGTGTCTGGAACACAGGAGCCCAACAAATGTTTGTCAAAAGAATGATAGCTGGGCGTTGTGGTGGACGCCTGTATCCCAGCTACTTGGGAGGCTGAGGCAGGAGGAGAATCACCTAAGCTCAGGAGTTGAAGGTTGCTGTGAGCTCTACCAAGGGCAATAAAGTGAGACTCTGTCTCTAAAAAAAAAAAAACAAAAGAATGAATGAATGAAGACATCGCTGCAATAGTTCAGGTAAGAGATAATAGGGCAGTGATGGCAGGAAAACAAAAGACAGATATGAAAAATATGAACTGAGGTAAAATTAGCTGAACTTGATGACCATTTGGGGAAAAAAGATGAGGAAAGATGAGAGAGAGGAAAGAGCTCTCTCTCATATCCATAAACAGCCATCAGGCACATCTGAGTCATTATGGATGACTTCCAAGTTTTGGGCTTGGGGACTGAAAAGACAGGTACCCCCATTCTGAAAGGGAATGAATGAGAAGAAAGATGCAGGAGGAATAATTAGTTCCATGTTGGGAACGTCAAACAAAAGATACTCATAGGAGTGAGCATACTCAGCAAGTACTTACAGAGTACACAAGTCTAAGAAGTTTGTGAGCGGATGTTGAGGCTATAGAGATGTAGCAGTCATTAGCATACAGGAAGTAAGAACTATGAGAAAATAGAAGATATCTTGGATTTTATATGAGTATAAAAGGCCAGAATTGAAAAATGACGCTAGATACTAAATCTCTGTATATTCTTTTTTTTTTTTTTTTTTGAGACGGAGCCTCAAGCTATCCCCCTGGGTAGAGTG